AATTTCCAAAGCCATCAAGGACCATTTATCTAAACTGTGGATCGTGCGGCTGATAGTGTATCATTGTAATATTTCGCCCTTAGACACTGTCACTTCCACAAAGAAACCTGCAGGATTCTCTTATTAAAATACCAACTCCTTTATGACTGGATATTAACAAAACACAACCTCAAAAAGATTCTAATAACGCCACGTTTTAACCAGACATAATTGAATATTTACAAAGCTGTAAGATTCTGAAGAGAGCAATTATCATGGAAAGCGACAGGCACCATTAGACATTCCACCTGTAACACACAAAACAATTGAGAAGTCAAAAATTGAAGGCAGGCTCTTGTGTCATTCCAGCCTGGATTTGATACAGGAACCTTTGAATTCCGCTCCTAACTTTCATCAGTGAGTTGGTTTTGATTGTGTAGTACCACACCGTCTGCACTTAACTTTTAGGGGCCTCATTATCTGCTTGTTTATAAGCGGAAAATAATCATTCCTCTTCTCCAGGGTGCTGACAGTCTCACTAATTGCAATGCATTTTGAGATCATCAAAAGAAATACCACATACAAGTGGAAAGCATAATGGTTATTTTATAAAAGCATTTATTAATCAAGACTTGGTTGTAACTTACTTAATTCCCAGTCCATCCTTATTTCTGAAGATGAGGGGAACTCTGAGAGCTTCTCTTTGCACGTACTCAAAAGTAAAATCTGTTGGAATAATGGATAAAAAAAATCCAACATCAATTACAACAGCCTTAGCACCTCACGTTCCATTTCCTCAAAACACTCCCCATTTCCCTTTTCTCACCAAAGAACTCCACTACCAGTTAAAGGAAAATAGAAAGAGAATGCATATTTTAGGGCCAAAGCGGAAACCAGATGACAGACAATGCTCTCCCAGCTGCTCACCATTTTTCCTGTGCACTGATGCACAGAAAACAGAATCCACTCAGAGTCTGTCAATTAAGGTCTGGGGTGAAACACTCAATGAAATACCAAATTAACAGTTTAACAGATAATGAAATGACTGCACATCAGCCTGGTTCTTTGGGGGCAAATGTGTAGTTTAAACTGATTATTGAAGTTTATGTATTTTAAGGTGTACATTTCTGTTTAGGAGAAAGCCATGTGAGCATTATCTGTGTAGAGCAGAATGCCCTGATGGTGTGAACACAGAACTCTCTTTTTATGTGAGGGTTACTCTAACTTCCCACAAAGTACTTTTTAGTTACTCAAAAACTGCAGGAGCTGATAGGAATCTTAGACAGCCTCGGACACTTGGGAAGACAGTGGAAAATGAACAATTTTGGGTGGGAGTCACACAATCAAACTGAAAATTAAACATAAATGTGTTGTGTTAACACTGCCCAGTATCACCTTGTTGCTGCACTGTGAGGATTAGGCAGAACTGGCCTTGCCTGGGGATTTCTTTATGCAACCATCTGATACAATGGCAGCGATTTGGGGATTAGAGAGGAAGTTACAAGGCAGCGATTTGGGTGAGCTGTGCCTACAAAACCCCACACTCCCTTTGGAGCCTTGTGCCACAGAGAGAAGAGGAATTCCTGCAGTGGCCATGTATGTTTCTATGGTTCTGCTATTCCCACATTCCTACAGGAAAAAAATGACTTTTCTATAGCATCCATACGCTACCTTAAAATGGAAAACACTGCCTGACTCTCTAGCACTTCAAAATACACTACATTGTGTGAAATACACCACACACTTTATGTAGTATATTCAGATACACACAAGTAGCTTAACTTCCCCAAGATTCAGCCAGCAACATGCAAACTTCCTGGGAGAGATAAGAACCTCAGACCTGAGCTTGTAGCAGTGGTTTTCTCTATTACAGAGCCCATACTGACAGAAACAGGGGACACAGAGGCTCAGCTTCCACTCCTGCAGATGTATTTCCCTCTATTTTTACAACTTTTTCTTTGCTGTATTCAGTTAGTAATTACGACAAGTAGGGATATAATATTCCTACTTAGAGTTAGCAAATCAGAGCACTGTAATTATCCATTTACGAAACCATTAAAATGATGGCAACTTTATTGCTACTAGTCTCAAAATAAGTGTAATTGAATCCTCCAATTAACTAAGGTTACCAAATAAATACTTCTGTACTAGAGAAGTCTTCCTTTCCCAGAGGCATTAAACTACTGCCTCTAGGTAAGCAAATAAATAAACCACAGATATTTTCTTAAGGACCCTCATCCAAGTCAGAAAGTCAACAAACATTAAGAAGAAGCTGGGTGGAAGAAGCAGAGGCAGCTGTAGGGAACAAGTAGCTCTGACAAACTGCATTGAAGCCAAAAATCACACCACTGCCTGGCAGCACCTCGAGGAAAAAACCTCCAACCACATTCCTAGCAACAAAATACATCAAGAGTTATCATGAAAAAATAAAACAAGAATCTGGGAAATGAAAATAAATGAATCTATGGCTCAACCAATTCCATGTGTGCACACAAACTGTTTGATTCTTACTGTCACTGTTGTGCCTAGATTCAACTCTTGGATATAAAAATAAACCAATAGTAAAACTCAAGGCAGAGCAAGTAGGAAGGCAGAGCCTTTCTTCTAATGCCCCAACAAAGCGCCTAAATCCCTTGTGGGGCTGAACAAAGCAGACCCAGACCACAACAAACTAACAAAAGACACTCATTTATTTTCAAGTTCCCTAGAAAGGAGAAGGCAACCCAAAGATACGAGGGAAACTATGGGTTGTACTACAGTTAGTGTAGCAATGGCAAACACTGAGTATTTGGAAGGTGAGGGTAGAAATCCATCATTTTCTGGAAAATTAATTAACATTTTCCAGCTCAAAAAAAATAGGTGTTTGTGTTTTGTTTGGAGGAAGAGGGGTCAGGGTTGAGCTTATCTCCTAAACAAATACCTTCCTCAGTGAGATAGGTATTTAATTTCTCCACCACATTAACTTTTCTAAAAGGAGCTTAAAATGCTCATGCAAAACGAAGCCTAAGGGAGAAAAGGAAATTTTCTAAACTAGATTAGTGGCTCCCCCGTTAGAGCCATTGCAGGAGGATTACAAACACGACTCCTCTTGCCTGAGAAAGCCCTCAGGAAGGCCGAGTTTTGGTGAAGACCATCTGGGAATCAGGAGCCTTGTCGGCAAGGCTGCAGTAAATAACGGTGACCTGCAAACCTCTCAGTCCCATTTGATTCCCGGGCAAAGCTCTCCCGTTTCCCTTCCTGCCAGGCAACCACGCTGCCTTTGCCACCGCTCCGTAATTTAAGTCACCTAAGCAAACCAAATCACGTTATCCTTTAACGCATGATAGGAACACAAAGTGATTGACTTTAAAGGTTCCGACCCAGGCGAACACCCTTTACATCCTTTCGCAAAAGGATTCAGCCAGAGCGGAGGAGGAGCGGGAATCGCCTCCGGCGACGCGGGGGCCTGGGGGTGCAGCCTGTCCTTTGCCAGGACCTAATTCCTGAGCATCCCAGCGGTGCGCGGGGTCACGGCAGCGGCGGATCCACGCCGCCTGCCCAGCACCGTGCCGGGGCAACAACCGCTCTGCGGGTGCAGGACCGGGGCTAACGGGCACAGCCGGGGTAGCCCCATGGCAGGGCGGGCTGCAAGGCCCCGGTGCAGCAGCAGCCGCCCCCCGGCGTCGTCACCGGATCCCCGGGCAGGGGGCGCGGGCGCGAAATACGAACCCAGGCGCGGAACTACACGTGGAGGCTCCGCGAGCGGAGCGGAGCGGGGCGGGGGTAGCTCCGGCCCCGGCCCGGCAGTTACCTTTCCCGTCCATGGCATGCACGAAATCCCCGTGATACAGTTTGCTCTTTAATTTCTCTTCCAAATTGAAACTCCTGATGCTGACAATTTCCTCCACGTCCGAGAGATCCTCGTTCTCATCGTACCGCCTTCTGCCAATGGAGCGCTAGAAAACAAAACAAAACATAAACACATTGTCCGGGGGGGGGGGAAGAAAGGAGGAAAATAAATGAGAGGAAAGCGCATGCATCGTGCAGCCGAGCTGATAAACAGCGCCGGGAGGAAATAATTAAGGTGGCAAGACACAGACTGAACAAAACCTGAACCCAAACATGCAATTCCAGCTGCGTGCACAACCTTTTCCATCCCGCGGCACGGAACTAGACCCGGATAACAGGTGTTTGGCTGCGGGAACCAGCGCGGGGGCCGCGGGGCCGGAGCAGCCGGCTCGGGGCGAGCGGGAGGCCGGCGGCTCTCGCCCGAAAGTCACGGCCACGGCACCGAGGCGGTCCCGTTAAACCCCCCGTTAGCGGCGGCCAATGCTCGTCAGCGGCCGGGTTGTTTTTATTAATATTGTTATTTCTGCACGTGAATACAAGGCGATTTCCCAGGGAAGGGAATGGGGGGGGGTGTGGGGGGGTGTGAATCATTTAATCCCAGGCACGGCATCCCGGTTTCGGGATTTACATAATCCCCGTGTTTCCATAGTCACACCGGAAGCCGCGATTTAAAAATCTATGGAACGCCGCGATGGATGCGCAGCCCCCGCCCCACTCCGCACCCTCCGTTCACCTCCGCGGCGAGGGGCAGGAACGGGTTAAATGGGGGGGGGTGGGGGTGTCCCGGTGCCCCCCGTAGGGGCTGGTAGGTGGTGGGCTGAGTGCTAAAGGTAGGTCGGCGGGTTCCCAGTTTGGGGGGTCGGAGGGGGACCCCCGATGCAGCGGCCACCTCCAGCGGTTCTGCCCCTCTCCCTGCAAACCCGGCCCGCGGACACAAGCGGTGGATCGGCATCAAACCCGCAGGAAAGAAAGAAATAATAAATTCTATCTATTATCGTCCCACCCTCTCCTTCCCTTCGGTTAAATTCCACCCCCTGCCCCAGTGCCTAAGCTGCTCTCTTGCAAACTACGTCGCTCTGCTGCCTCCGCTCTCCATGCACTGCTCCCTTTGCAAACAATTAAGCAAAATCAATGAAAAGGCACGAATAGGAAATCGGCAGACGCCAGCTACACACCAATCTTCTTCCAGAGTCTGTCTCTGCCTCCATTTTTTTGGAGAGTTTCATCACTTAATTGTCAACAGTTCCTGTCCTGCATTTTTGGCTCACATGGGGAGGAGGAGACCCAAAAGCCAGCGAGCTCTCGGTAAAGTTTTGCTATTTTGCACCAGCACTTTTTTTTTTCCGGGGGGGGGGGGGGGGGGAGGAGGGGGAGGGAAGGGGAGGGGGGTGGCGGCCGCGGTGATTCCTTTTGCAAAGTCCTAAGGAACCATTTTCAGGCGCTGCGTGTGGAGCGGGGCGCAGGCGTCGCAGTGCCCGGAACGTAAACACGACCGGGGTGGGTGGGGTGGGTGTCCGGGGGAGCGGTACCGGCGCTGGGCCGGGGCCGCGGCTGGGTCACGAGTGCGCAGCGGCCGCACGCAGGCGCTGAACGGGTGCGCAGGGAAGGGGGGGAACGGACGGAGGACGAGGAGGGGGGGACCCCACGAATGCGCGGATGGTCCCTATGTGGGTACCGCCGCCGGGGACAAGCCCTAAAAGTTGCGCGGTTCCGCTTACATGGAGGGAAGCGGGCTCAGCGTCCGCCCCACGTTGTAACGCGGAGCACGGTTTATCGGACTCCTGTAAAGGGTGGCGAGTGAGCGTGGCAAACGCTGTAAAAGAACGTTATAATAAGTGGAGTTGGGGTGAATTCCCGCTGCGTTGTGCCCACGCTATGTGCTCGTACCACGCGTGCAGCGAGGCACCCCCGTCGGCTGCTGCAGGCGCTCCGAGAGCTGCGCACCGTGTCCGTCCAGTGCGAACGGGTCCTGGTGTGCGGAATGTATTATTAGGTGCGAAATAAAGCAAAATTGCCTTTGTAATACGTGTGTGCAGCAGGTAGGTAGAAACCGCGTGGAAAAGTACATCAAAATAATAGGGAATAGCTGCTGATACAAAAGAAATCTCCAGACTGGCGATGCTGCGGGCTCCTGAAGCTGTCCCCAGAGTCCTGTTTCTACAACACGGATTCCCATCTACTCTAAATTGATGAAGAGTAAATACCGAGACCATTTCACTGCACCAGCGGGGTCAGAGTGCAGGATTTGAACAGCCTCAAGGTTCCAACGCGTGGCTCCTCTCTGCAGTGACATCTTTACCACCCGTAAAGAGGGGAGCATCAAAGAGTGCCTAAACGCGGGGCCGGGCTGATGGTTGGGGTGGGTGCTCCTCTGCTTTGCTTTTTGCAGTTGATGCTGAGAATAAGTGTGTTTGTACCTTCGGTATGGTCCTTGTTCACTGCTGGCTCTCCTGGAGCAGCACACATCAGGGAGTGCTCTGATCTAACTAGTGCAGATCTCAGAAGGGAATTGCAAACTGTCTTTCTATGGCTTTAATTCTCACAATAGTTAAACACAGACTGAAATCTCTGTTAGAGAGGGATTTTTTCTTTCCTATTCTTGCCCACTTCTACCAACAGAAACAGCCTCACACAGTACCCAGTTATCCCTTGCATACCCAACCCATCACATTCTAGGTACTATATGAAACATTAACTATTATACCAAAGCTAAAACACACTAAAGTTCAACTTTGCAGGCCCTGCCAGTCATCTCTTTGCAAAGATCCGTATTTTAATGAACCATAATGTGCATAAAGGCAGGAGAAGCCAGAGTTCTAAGGATTTAAGGCAGTGACCTTCTCATTGTGCATCTGCAGAACCCTGAAAAAACCACGTAATTTTTCTCCAGCATCTCCCTATTTGCAGATGATTGAACTTTATGATCATATAGAAGTGTTGGATAGGCTATATATTGAAGTGTGGATTCCAGATGTCTGTTCTAGCAAGTGCATTATGAATCCACAATCCTGAAGAGATTTACACATATGTTCACCTTTCTGCCAAGACTACTCCATCTCAAAATCAAATGCATGTGTACATCTGCAAGTTTGAGGCTGCAGGACTTGTACAAGATGAATGGATGTTACTAGAGAATCATCAGATAAGAAGCACATCATCCATTCCACAAAAGTCCACCAAAAAAAGCCAGAACATAAAAGAAAATCAACTAATTTTTCTAAATTCTTTTTTTTTTTGGGACATGAACAATCTGAGACTCTTTGTGTATCAAAGAAACCAGGGGCTGTGTTCACCACATACACCTGAAACACCAGATACTCAAACAGGAAAGTAAATATGTGGTTTTAGAAATACCACATACTAAATCTAGGTATCTCTGAAAATAGAAAACATTTTAACCTTGTTTCAAGACAGAAATGATTCCTATTAAACTACAGTTCATTTTACCATTGAAGTAATACTGTATATAATCGGTATATTAATAACAAAGTCTCAAACTTAAAAGAAGTGGGGAAGAGGAGGCAGATGTGGGTGATGAGAATATCCACAGCTGTGTTACATAGGATAAAGCTATTTAGAAGCAATATTAAACCTAAGTGCTCCAGCATACAGGTGAAGTACTGGCAGATGAGGGTTATGGCTCATTTCCCCTCCAAGCAGATCATGCAAAGCTTTGCAGCAGTCCCTGGAGCTGGGCCCTGTGAGGCAGGGCTTGGTATGGGACAGTATGGAGCTGCTGAAAGCCTGGCTTTGTTCAGTGTAAAAAATGGGGGGAAAACCATTTCAGGTATCCAGAGTGTGACAAGGGAGCAGTGGTCACTGAGGAAGGGTCTGGCCTGAACTACACTGAAAGAAAATCCACTGGCACTTATTTTCTGGATGTTAATGTAGCTTAAATTATTGAAGATCTAATCATGCCAGTGTGCTGGATCCTGACCTTGCTAGCCTGAAAAGAGGAGCTCTCATTTAATTAAACTTGTACCGCAGGACTCTGCTAAAGTAAGAACTCCAGAGCTGTGCTTGGGAGGGCTGTGAAGAAAAGGGTTTATTTCACCCTTATTGAGCTTTCAAACATAGTTATTTCCTATTGGATAGAATGAAGTAATCTTAAAACATTTTTTAAGGTGTCTTTGATCCTGTAAGATCTACCATTCTATCCATTACTTTGGGTTAAGATGGAAGCCTAGATCTTTAACCGTTGTTCTATGAAGGAAGTTAAAAATACCATTTTTCTAGTCATGACACATCAAAATCCTTCCTCTGCAGAAACTCCCTCAACTAAACTTTAAGCTTTGCTTTCAGTGAGATCTGGAGAGATGTTTGCCTTGACCTCCTCACTGCTGACAAACCTTTATTTGCCTCTTGCAACTTCTGATGTGTTGTTTTTCATGCAGATCTACCATAATTTCCGTTCTGTGGTAAACTGATTTGGTTTTGGTACAATAACAGGAACAAATGGAAGTGATGATTTGCATGTGAAATGGAAATATGCTTTGGAACTCTTTGCAGAGGGCAGAACCTTTGCATGCTCAGTGCCACATCCATTAATCATACAGTACTCCGCGAACCCATTCTTCTTATTCAGTCCTCCTACAGAACATACAGAAGTACATTTTTAGCAGAAAAAAAGAACTCTGAGTATCCTTGTGCCTGTGTACACACTTCTCGGGGCTTTCTGGAAAGAAACTTGGACTTCTGCCACCTGCTCTGATTGTGTTCATGCCTAAATGATCCAAGAATGGGTTGACATTACCTCTAATTAGGGGTAATAGCAGCCTGCTGCTGCTAGAGCCAGTTGCTTTCCTCTTGCTATGTCCCTCATTTCTCCTGCATTAGGTGCAGTGTTCATGCAGCCACGGGATAAGTCAGTTCAATGACCTGATCCGGTAGAAAACTCGCCCATTAAGAAGAAAAAAAAAAAAACAAACCCGCTTATATTTTTCATTAGGTCAATTCACTGAAGCTCTGTAGCCATCTGATCGGTGTCATCTACAGGATGAAGAGTGTGGTTGAGATGAAGGAAGAGCGCAGGACTACACCCTTTTGGTGGCCTTCCGCAATTGCACTGATCAGAGGGAACAACAAAGCCCAGTCCTGAACTCCAGCCTGATTTCAGAACTCCCTGAAGCATTTCTAGGAGTTAATTAAGCATGACAGAGTCTTTTTGTTTCAGCTAACTCTAGAGTAGCAGTGCAGAGGTGTGTAATAATGAGTAATTAGAGCTGGCAAGAAAACAATTTATCCTGTTTAGTTTGTACCTCAAAATGGAGCTGTAAAATGTTCTGAACATCAAGGGGAAGAAGGGTAGCTTCTACAGCCCTAATGGTTTAGCTGCAGAAGCCTTGAGCCTCAGCTTATGTTCTCCTATTTAACAAACCGAGTTTTTATTTCTGATAGGAAAGGAAATGATATTTATTTCAAAGCTACAAAGATGGAAGCTGAAAGTTACACATGGGTTGGGTTTGGAAAAGGGGGATGGGATGGTTTCTTTACTGATTTTGGTAGGTCCTTTTCTGTACTGTTTCTCTGAATGAAACATGAACTCAACAGTTCATCAGTGTGCAATACTGTTGTATCTTTCAAAGTCCTTCCTGATAAACAGGGTCAGGACTGACGGACAGAAGAATAGAGAGAGTGAGTTCCAAGAGTCTGTTTTAATACAGTTCTTTAGAAAGACACTTCAGGTCCTTCTCAGATTTATCTCTTGCAGGTTTGTGTTTTTCTAGAGAAATCTGATTTTAGGGAACAGGTCAAGACGTAGGTATTATTTATGCAGTAGCACTGACCCATGATATTAAGAGTTCAGCAGTAATTTTGTGCAGAAATGAGATGAAATAGTGAACAATCAGTTTTGGTTATGTACATAAGTATTTTTCATAGCTTATGAGCAGCAATGCAAAATATTTTTAAATGTATGAATCCACAGAAACTAAACGACAGAGACCGAGTTTGCTTGAGATACAGAGGAAACTACATCACTGGGTTTCGATGGTTATCTCATCTCCCAAGGAAAATGCAGTACACAAAGGGGCTGTTAGTCACTGCTTTGCAATGCGGTGCTCAGACTTAGCCTAAGGCATCAGTGGGAGTCACACAAGAAGCCGACTGTGGTGATGAGATCTGTTTTGGGGTTGTTTTTTCATTTAGAATAAAAGCACACTGAACAAAGAGGATTTATAATCACAGAATCATTTCGGTTGGAAAACACCTTTAAGCTCATCAAGCCCAGATGCAAACCTAACCCTGCCAAGTCCACCATTAAATGCTTACTCTGGACTTTCACATAAATGGACACTATGCTGTCACACATAAAAGAGAAAGAAGGTGCGAAACACTTCGTAGAGGATCTGGCACACCAGCTTTTAAGGAGAGGCTGCAGGTCAAGCTCATTTGTAGAAGAATGAGTTTGACTCATTCATTGAGGTGTTTTAATGCCCCCGTAGATAAAAATCTAACCAGGAGCTGTTTTGTAAGAAGACAACTCCATTTATTTCCTGAGAAGAGAATGAGAAATTAAATCTATGTGGTAAAAAACAGTAGTTTCAGGGAATGCCTCTGAAGAGCTCCAAGTAAGATTTTCTTCTTGGCGGCTTCAACTACATCCCTTTTACAAGAATGCCATGTAAATGAAGAGCATTGAAACCTGTGTGGCTGTAGATTGTCATCACGTTTGCTGTGCATACGTAAATGAATGGCCTTGCAAATCAGAGAAGGGTGTGAAGAGAGGAACAAAGCAAAACCGTTAAAGAGAATGTGCTGAATTTTCCCTACTTGTAAAGCGAAAAAAGTCAACGCCATAGAAAATCACCCGTGCTTTTGATTTGTAATGGAAGCAGCACTGTGGTATGTGACCATCCAAATACCTGTAAATAGTACAAGCCTCCTTGTCAGGTGTTATTTATATTGTTAAAATTGTATATTTCTTACTAGAAATGGACTGCAACAGGTTGGTTCCTTACACATCCTTTAGCTCTCCAGACCCGGCAGTGTGCCTTGGCACCAGCACTGTGTTGTCTCACCTTTTCAGAAATCATCTTCAGAGCTGTGCCATGTATTTGCTATGGAGTTCTGCTCTATGCCTAATTTTTCCACTCTGTAAAACACAAAGAAAAAATAAAGTATGTTTTAAAAGGCTTGCATGAACGTGGCAATAAAATAATCTTTCAACAATGGCCTGTGTTCTCTGTTGAAATGTTCTGCTTGATCAAGGTTATCAGCTGTGTGCTGATAAAAACCGGGTTTATTAGGAGCTCTGGGCCCATAAAACCTCTATAAAACGGTTGAGTACGTGGCAGAGGGTTATCGATTTTAACTGGAATCGAGGGTGGCTGCTCTCAGGTTCAGATCCACAGGACAGATGTCGATTAAACTCTCAAGCTTTCTAGGAGGGGAGCCAGCTGAGAAAGCTGTGGCTGTGTTGTGAGGGGCTGCCACAGGGGGAACAGCCCGACCCTTTCCCCACAGAGCTGCGGGGCACCTACCGCCGGTCATCGGAGCACAAAGTGCCTGAGACCGCAGGCTCCTGTCACCTGCGCTGCACGCTGGGGCCGCTCACCCTCCGCGGGCTCCGGCCAGGCCCCGCAGCGGGACTCGGCCCCTCAGAGCCCCGCTGAGGGCGGCAGCGGGAAGCGGCCTCTGGGGCGCGACGCTCGGGCTGCCTCGTTCTGAGGGCCGCCGGGAAGCGGCCGCGGAGGGGAAGGCCCGCGCCGCGCTGCCCAATCAGGAGGCGGCGGGCGGGCCCCGGCGCGCAGGCCCGGAGTGGCGCGGCGGCAGGCGCGGCCCCAGCCCCGGCAGCAGCGGCGGCCGGGCCCATGCGGTGTTAGCGCAGCGGGTGTCCTCGCTCCGCCGGCGGAAGGAGCCGTCGCTGCCGCTGTCTGTGCCTCCCGCTCCGTTGTGCTCCGCCGCCCCGAGCCCATGAGCCTGAACGAGCACTCGATGCAGGCGCTGTCCTGGCGGAAGCTCTACCTGAGCCGCGCCAAGCTGAAAGCTTCCAGTCGCACCTCCGCGCTGCTCTCCGGCTTCGCCATGGTGAGCGGCCGGCCTCGCTCAGCGGGCGGGCGGGAGTTAAGGGGGGGCTGGCAGGCGGCTCGCGGCGTCCCTGGCGGCAGGGAGCCGGGTGTGGGGAGCGGGGAGCAGAGCCGCTACTTCCCCGTTTGCTTACCGGAGACTTCGCTGCTTTCCCCTCAGTCGGTGGCTGCAGCGGGACGGGGCGGGCACTGTCCCTGTGGCGGTGTGTGGCACCCCGGGGCGGGCCCTGCCGCCTTTTGCCCCGTCTCCAGCCCTCCGGGCAGCGGGGTCAGCGCACCCGGGCGCGGTCAGGCCGGCGGAGGCCTAGGGCCGCTCCGGGAGCAGCGGGGCCGGGCGGGTGCTCTGGTGCTGCGCGGTAGCTCGTTGTCCATGGAGAGCTGTCATGACACGAGTTAGAAGCTGCTTCAGAGCTGTTATCTCCGGTTACCTGCAGGGGTTTAATGCTTAATTCCTCCCGCGGAGGATGCTCGCTGCGGGAGCCGTGCTTAGCGAGGTGCTCCTCCCGCTCGCAGGGTTCGGGAATGCCAAGGCAGCCCCTTGTTTCCGTGCTTCACTTCGCACTCTGGTGTCTGGAGCACAGCGGGTTCCACAGCGCTGCCCGGGCTCTGCCGCTCCCGTTCCTCTTCCGCACCGCAGCCGCTGTGCGAACGGAGCCAAAGGCAGGTGTTGCACTGGAGCTATCCCTGAATCTTCGGTGTTGCTTAGTTTAGAGTTTTGTGCATGTTTTAGAAACGTCTTTTTTTTTTTTACTATGGTTTTGCTTTCGTGTTTGGTATAGAAACGACTAGCAGTCCTTATTGTCTAAAATAAGCACTCAGTATAGATTGAAATATGGTTACTTAAAGGCTTGATCCTATAGGACAAGGGGAAATGGCTTTGAACTGATTGAGATGAGCTCTTAGGCAGAAGCTCTTCCCTGTGAGGGTGCTGAGGCGCTGGCACAGGGTGCCCAGAGAAGCTGTGGCTGCCCCATCCCTGGCAGTGTTCAAGGCCAGGTTGGACACAGGGGCTTGGAGCAAGCTGCTCTAGTGGAAGGTGACCCTGCCCGCGGCAGGTGTTTGGAACTGGGTGAGCTTTAAGGTCCCTTCCAACCTAGACCATTTTCTGGTTCTATTTTATGTCCATCCTCCCTAACGTACTAAGCTGCTAACTCTGCCATCAGCCCCTTTATCATCTGTCTGAAATGCTTCACAGTTGTCATTACCGATCTGTACAGCTCTGACTTTTGCTCTGCTTTTACCAATATATTTTCAGCCGTAATATATATTCCCCTTTAAGAGCCATTGTTCTAATTAGAGGATGCTGTTCGCAAACATAGCAGCCGGTCTGCAGCAGCCTTCTGACGGTCAAGTAAATGTCACTGTTCTCCTTCAATAGCTAAAAACAGACTCCAGCTCCTCAGGGGTGGTGGTGGACTGCTGTTGGTTTGACTGACAGGCGACTGTGTTAGTGCAGCGGCATGTTTGAGTTGGTTCTCCTTGGGTGACATGCACCAGGCTGGGAGCTCGGACTCCGCTGCTGCTCCCGAGGTTTCCTTTTGGTGCACCCGTTTCCCTGTGTCAGAGCAGTTTGTCAGGGTGGTTTCTTGAGTCAGGCTTTTACATTGAGACAACACGGGAAATAACCGTGTGGTTTGTTGTTATCTGCAAATTGCATCTCCTTTAATAAAAATACTGTTATTTAAAAGTCATATTTAATGTCTTAAATCCCTCTGGCTTTTCTCTAAATATGTGCTGTGTGGATTCTCAAAATCCCATGGATGTATGAGGTGAGGCTTCTCTTTCTTTCTGATTCTCTAGAAGAGTTGTAGGCATTCAGTGTCCCACAGATGAAAACTGCCGCTTTTGAATTTATGGTGCTTAGGGTCTTCCAGGAAAAAGCCTCTTTGTTCCAATTAACACAATCTCCAGTTGCCAGGAATGTTACATGTGAACATTCAGTGATTTTAATTTTCTGGAAGTTGCCCCTCTCAAAAGTTCCACTTTTCTTCCTTTAACAAGATCACCCTGGAAATCAGCTTGTAACCTCGCTGGGTTTGCTGTGACTTTCTAATCTATTTTCAGAAGAGCTGGCTTTAACTGTCAGGTATTTTTAGGTTTCTTTGTACTAACTTTGCTTATCTTTTGAAGTTCTTGTGCCTTGAGAGGCAGGGCCGCCTTCTGCTGTCACGCCTCTGCATTGTTTACTAAATGCAGCAGATTCCTTGGCACCTGATATTTGAACAAAAGTACAGTCTAGTTTTGGATCTCAAGCTTACAACAGCACTTCACTGTGATTGTTCCTCTGTTTTCCCTATAGACCTGAGGAAGAAAGAGCTTAAATGACACATCCAGGACAACCCAGCAAATTGATGGGAATTGTTAGGAGTGTATCTACGCCAGCCCCATTGATCCTTGCTTTTAGTTAAACAGTACTTGCATCCTTCTAGCTAGAGGGAAGCTTATCCCCACTAAACTCTTCCTTTATTTTGGACTAATTTTGTGTGTAACTGCAGCCATTTTGCAATGCTTATTCCCTCAAGATTGGTTACACATACCCCGGTTAAATGATGCATGTCAGAGTTGAGAGGCTGCCTGGGTCAGTGATGTGTAGAGTATGAAACGCTCAGCCAGGTTTCAAACTCAAATGTTATGTTTCCACAGAGAAGATTGATTAAAAGCCTGGTTTACAGTTAGTTTTGGTTTTGAGCTGTACATCACTATTTGCCACCGTGTGTTAGCTTCAGAAACAGTTCTAGAGTCTGATGATTGTAAACTGATGTTGGAGCTAAACTCTTGCGAGTAAACCAAGCACTAACTTTGTGCAGGTTTCCATGGATGCTATCACCTAGTGCCATATGCCCAAGAGGAAATCTGTGAAGCTTATAACCTTGCATTTAGTGCAGTTTTCCAGTCTACAGTGCCACCAGTTAATACCAGTGCCCCAAATTGCTAGAGGTAAAGAAAGAAAATGTAATTTGTGAGGTGTGTGTAATCCATGAAAGAATAAGGATTCCTTCTATGCTAGTGGAGGCATCAAGTACTTCCCACTTTTGTGTTACAGCCCAGGTATTGAGGTGTGATTATGTTCCCCCTTCTATATCTGGTTTTATTTCTTAATCCAGTTTATCTGAATGCTGGAAATACTTTGCAGATTGGATCCAATACAACAAGCACTAGCTCATTCACACTACCAGCAGCAGTATTAAGAGCTCCAGTATAGACAGGCTGTTGGCAGGTTATTTTTGTTTGAACTATTAAGCTGACCTGTTAGCATCATTTTGTCACCAGGTCACCATCATGCAGTAGTATGACAATGTCATGATACTGGAGTCACAAACATAGGGAAGTTGTTAAATTGCAACAGTCATCAAACTGTAAAACACCTTCTCCCTCCACCACTTAACAGCTTTGTGGAAATACTTGAGCCTAAACTAGGGGTCTAAATTACATGTTGTGGTTGGTTTCTGTATGTTTAGGATTTAGAAGATATTATGTACCAGACAGCGCAGTTTTCTTTTAAATACCTCTAACAAGGCAAGCTGGCTAGGCTGTTGTCTAGATTGTGATATATGCTTCAAGTATTGAACATCATCAAAGAACTATCAACTCCTGCCTTTGAAATATAGCCAATATGGTCTTCTGAAGACAGCTGGAGTCAGCTTTTGTAAAGACTGACTGCACTGATAAATATTTATGCAACTCATTTCCATAACAGTTGATGGTAGGACTTGAGCTCTGCTGCTGTCGCTGCCGTACAGGTACTTAAGGCAGCTTAGTCCTAGGTTAGTCCTTAGGTCTAGTAAAGGTTACTCTGGTTACAAGTACAAAACCAGTCTCTTTTCTATAGGGGCTTTTTGCTGTATTTAACTGGATTGCTGTTAGAATAACACAGAACAGTGGCATACTGTAACCTGCAAGAAAGTGTTACAGGCCCAGTTCCATGGCTTTTGCTGCTACTCTGTGTTTTGTATCACTATTTTACTTACAGGTTAGAACTGTGTGCTGAAGAATCTTTCCCCATATAAAAGGGTTCTCCTCTTCCAGTCATGAAAGCAGTGTTTTGTTGCTTCTTTGAACATCCGTGTCTCAGGCAGTGTGGAGTACTTGGGTCTCTCATTGTTCTGTCTTACACCAGCTGTGAGTAGAAGATGTAAAGGTGATACTGAGCTGCTCTTTCTTCTCCCTGCTGTGCTGTCTTATCTGACCTCATACTTACTGAATAGAGTTAACACTGTGTAGAGATACTACCTTCTCAAAATGCATTTACTCTTATTATGTGGGTATTGTCTTTTCATGCTTAGTAGCAAAATAAAATTAAATCCTGTGTTTGTATTCAATTTTCAGTGACTGATTCTGGCTCATACAGAGTCTTTCTGAGTTGTTTATAACCCATAATGAATGGTGCAGGCACTGTGAGAGCCTGGCTCTGCTCCTCTGCCTCTGGGAATGAATAGTGCTGTCAGGAAAACGGAGACCGACCGACCAGCTCAGAGGCTGAGGAGACAGTGCTGTGACACCAGTCTGGTTCTCAGCTTTGGTCTGTGGTCCCACACACAGACACAAGCAATGGGGCAGAAGAGGGAATTTGTTACTGAAAATAACTTGTGATGTGAACCTGAGGACTTGGAGAAACAACTTCTGTGTGCTTGGGGCTTTTTTTCTCCCTAAGAGTAGCATGTGCTAAGAGCCACTTGCACATGTAACTATATGGGTAGGTAGATGTAGTCAAAACTTAGCTTAGCTGCAGCAAGTGAAGGTAGTAAAATATTTCTGCAGGTAGGTGTTGATTGAAATATTTCAGTGGTTACCATGCACAATTCTACCTCGGTGTGTGTTGGTCCACAAGGTGAAGGTGGTGTGGCACTGATACATTTCCCCAGGTGAGATTCACATCCTCCTACTGTGTGGATAAACCCTTACAAAATGCAGCTGTGATGTTGCATCAACACAGCTTGCTTTTAAGCCATTCCTGACACTAGGCTGTATAAAAATCATCTTGTCCTCTTCATTTCCTATTTA